GATCCCGCCGGCGGGATCGCCGGTCCCAGGGGGTTAACAGACTCACGGGGATACCGCAATCGAGTTTGGAGGAGCCGACCATTCGGCATAACAACTGATTAATAATCAGTATTAAATAATAATTAATTAAACTTTAATTAATTCAAACATATTGGTGGAGATATTAAAATTTACCTGAGCTAATAATTCCTACAGCATCGTGCACGTTTACACTAGCTGAATACATATATTTGACAGTACAAATACATTTAGACAATGATAGACAGTAACAGTAATTATTATATAATAAAATACATTAAAAATAAAGATTTCTTATTTTAATATTAATAATAAACCATTATTACATTTAATTATCATACTGTCGTGCCAAGCATGGACGGAATGGAGACAAAGGCGCAGACATCAGGGTATCGGGGAATACGGGGTTTAATTACAAGTAAGGCAGGCAAAACGCAGATGGACAATACAATGACCGGACTGGGGAAACAAACTGAAACGCGGAATAAATACAGAGGACTAATGACAACAACAAGAAACAGCTGATCACATGGGGATTCCACACGGGGTTAACAAGGGTGCGTCGCACACAGAAGGAGTGGAAGATCGGGGCAGGACACATTGTTTGGATACATTTATTTTCTTTCTTTACTGTTTTCTTTACTGTTTCTTTACTGTACTGTTTTGATAAATGTGTTTAGATGTGTTTAGTACAGTATATGCATTTCTTGTTTTATCCGGTTCATTTTGTGTTTAAATGCTAAAAAAAAAACATATTTAGGTGTAATTTTTTGCAGTCGGGAACCAGTTAATTGGTTTTCCATTATTTCCTATGGGGAAAATTTGATCACAACTCGAACTTTTTAGGATTCGAGCTGGAGCCCAGTGTAGCTTTGAGGTACCACTGTACTTATAATTTCCAATTTCCAATGTTTTTACTTGTTTTTACGTTCTGTTCTGTCTCCAGTTAAATGGTTATTATATACATTGATTCAGTATCATTGTGTTAGTTATGTTCAGCTGCAGCAGTAAAGTGAATTTAACTTAATCCACCAGACTATGGTTTCATTATGTGATTCAGTTATGCTTTGGGTGACGCTGAAGCAGGACATAAATAGGACAGAACAGAAAGCCTTTATTGTCATTGTACAGGGAGGAAATATAGTAAATAGACATAAATATATAAAATGTACATATAGATGGGAGGGGGAAAGCACCCCCCCCACTCATCAGGATTACATTTAGTTACCCTTTAGTCAGAGAGAAAAACTATAAAATTATATTTTTTTTATTCAGCTTGCTGAACACAGGCATTTATTTTTGTCAAACATTCATTTCAGAGTAAAAAGGATTATAAAGGTTAAAAAGCAGAGATTTTACCTTTTTGCCAGGAGAACCAGCAACACGTCACAGAGACATTGAGGAGTTTATATTAACATAAAACCCTGGATAGAGGGGCTCAGTGAATGAGGAGGTGAAGCTGTACAGGAGGGTCAGTCCATCAGAGGAGACTCTGTAGAATGACAGAGCACCAGCCCCCCTGTCCAAATACACTCCTACTCTGTGGGAGCCTGAGGGCTCTATTGATATGAAAGTCCGTTTATTATTGTGCCGGACATAGTAACTGTCAGGATAATAGTACAGACTCCATGACGTGTCATTGTTTCCAAGCCCACAGTCATAACTCCCTCCTTTCCTCCTGATTCCTTTATAAGTCACTCCTATCTCAGCTCCATCTCCATCCCATTCAGCCTCCCAGTAACAGCGACCAGTCAGACTCTCTCTGCACAGAACTAGGTACCAGCGGTCAAATCTCTCTGGATGATCAGGATATGGCTGTTGCTCTGCCCCCCATGTCACCTTCCTGTCCCCCCATGAAAGAGACAGGTGTCTGTTTGCTGTGTTGGGGTCCAACGTCAGCTGGCAGGAGTCTGTAGGCAGGAGGAAGAATTATTAATACCATCAGGCAGCCTGTACTTTATGTTTCTGTACAATATAAAAACAGCACAGCTTCCACAAACGAAACGGGAACTGAAGATTATGAAATAGCTCAGGAAATGTCAGATGGTGCGTGACGCGGGCGGGAAGATTCGCCAAAATCTAAACCGAAATACAAGGAATATGGACTTTATTTTACATTATGCCTTTTCCTTATAATGGGCGTCAATGGAGGGGAAAACGCTTAAAGTAATATAAAGTTCTTATTCTTAGCATTTCGGTTTAGATTTCTTGTCA